ACCCAGCGCTGGGTTACGTATTGGGTTATTTTTAACCCAGCAGTTTTTACTGTGCAGGATGTTACATATGAAACGCTGATCTTTCAACACACAGCTCCGCTTTTTAATTTAAACATGTTCTGACTGAATTTTCTGCATTCTTTTTAATTACTATTGGAAAAAAATTCTTCATTTTACAATGTCACTGTCCAGTTGTTGTCACTGTGTCGCAATACTGATAATTATTTTATGCTCTTCTGCTGACCAATTCCTTTGTACAATGAATCTTTTTGTAACTTATTTAGTTGTAGATTTAGTGAAGGATGCAAATTTAAATAAAATCTTGTTAGGACAGTAAAACTGAATTTGTGGTTCATCAGATTCTCTGCAGTTGAACTTAAACAGACTGAATCCTTAAAATGAATCAAGAAAAGGTTTAAAAGTGTGCACACATATAAAAAACCATATTGTTGCTTTTTTTAAAAAAACATATACTTCACACATTTGTTTTGCTATACAGTATAATTATAGTGTTGGAAAACATTTCAAAATAATTTATTTTCTCCATGGCAAACAGACATTTTGTTTACTTAATACCGATGGAGCTCATGCACTTCTACCTTTCTACCAGCAGAGGTCAGACAGATCCTGAGGTTGTCCTCTTCTTCTGTCCATAAGAGCTGCTTCAGCATAAATCGCTGATACATTGAACGGCCTCTCAGACTCAAAGATGGGATTTCACTGGAATGTTTCCAAGCCGGTTCAGATTTCCGTCATAACAATTAGGAAGGCTCTTTGATTTCATGCACAAGCAAAGGGCAAAGGGGTGACTCAGCATGTTCTGGACGATTTTTCATTTAGTCCAGAGAGATTTTTCCAGAGTTTCTTGATGGTTTTCCTGGGTTATGACATATTAGGTTGGATTCTCCCTTTTTTTTTTTTGTCTTTTCAAAGTTTTCCCCAAAGGAGCACAATGAATTTTCTGGGGGGACCAGCTTTTCTTAGAGGTGCCTTGGTGTTTGGCAAGTGTGTGCCTAGAGGTTTCACAAACACTCCAGGGATCATTGGTAGCCCACCATAAAGCTTTTTATATCTGTTTACTCTTTCCCATAATGTCTTCAAAGAGTCCCAGATGGCAGCACATTTTCTGAGGGACTTCCACAGAGTCCTGATGAGGTCGTGGGGTTCGCTGAGGTTTCCAGGAACCGAAACAGCATCACATCCAAAGCTGTGTTTACTGGTGCAAAGGGGGGAGGGAGGCTCTTGAAAGACTTGTGATCTCAAGAAAACCAAGAAAACATTTCATCTTTTTTACTTTGGTCGCAGGAAACTGAGAGCTCAGATTAATCTGCGTAGGTCAACAGAAATACCAAGCATGTTGCCATCAGATAAACTAAATTAACTGTGAAGAGTTTGGGCGTTTATTAATGTTTGCTGTGAGGATGATTTAATCAGATCTAATCTCTGTAATCACTATCAGTTTTTCCGAGGCCTCTTTCATTATTCCCTTCTGTGAGAATTTGCACTTTTCTTCTGATGATTTCTGCTCTGGTCAAGAAAAGGCCTCTGGCCTCGCTTAGAAAGGCAAATTAAACATATCACTCATATCTTTTCAGCAGCCTGTCTGAATGTTGACCAACTTCATCAACTCAGACCTCCAATATCTAATAAAGCCTTTTCTGTTTTTCCTTTCCGATTTTCCTGGCCAATTACTTTTGGCACAAGCTGCAGAAGCATGGATGTGGTTGCCACGGCAACAGGATTTTCCTTCACCATGGAGGGAAAGGCGCTGTTGTTTAGTGTGACGTCACCATCAGCTACGACGCCAAGATAGGAACCACCAGAGCTGGGAGAGGAATACAGATTGTGTCATTTGTTCTTGTATTAGATGGTATGTCACAATGTATTTGATCCAGATTTAAGTCTATAGTTGTTGGAGATCCACTTCTGTCTTCAACGCTGCTAAAGTGACTATCAGCTTCATCATGTAGTCATAAGATAACACTTTTAAGCTTCAAGTAAGATTTGCTGATGTGATAAGGGGGCAAGCAATTTGGCAAGTAGAAGTCCTTGTTGATGAAATAGATGTCAAGATGTCTATTTCTTCAATAGTCCAGCGAACTTAGGAGCAAAGGCATAAAATGAAACAAAAACCTGATGCAGCAGCAGAAAGACCAACAAAAACCTGCTATTGAAAATACAAACTTTTTTGGATCACGGCTGGACCAAAACAAAGAGCTCAGCTTGGAGGATGACCAATACGGACAAAAGAAACAAAGATGGTCAAGAAAACAAACAAAAACTCTGGAGCATTTTTTACTGAGAAGATAATGAGCAGCACAGGGAAAAGGTGTGCTAGTTAGCCATGTTGGACCAGCTTAACCAGAAAGCAGGAAGCCATTTTTGAGACGAAGAACCTGACTTGGCAAATACTGAAAAGGACATAGAACGGCATTTAAATAACTCTTTAGAACATCAGGGTTAGAGGTGAGACACATCAAGAAACATGTAAAATTAAAAAAAAATCCACAGAATGAGTCCTTCTGCTTTAGAAAATAAGAAGTGGTTTCTTACGCTGATGACAAAAAGCGATTGCAAGGAGGCACGTCTGGTGTAGTGAAGAACAAAACTGAAAAACAGGCAGACAGTGAATAGAAATGCGCCTCCTTTTGTGTTTTTTTGAAGCAGTTTTTTTTTTCCCTGACCACATTTATGAAATAGTCCAAGGAGGAACCTGACCAGAAACAGGACAATAGTGCTACATGTACGCAGGGACACCAAGCTGAGATACGAGTCTGCAGCACTGAAAATAGAAATGCTTCTAAATTATTCAACACAATATACACTGTATTGTTTACTTCACCAAATCTCATATCGCAGTGGATACAATAAACTCGAGCAGTGAAATAATGTGTTATTATTACTAACATGAATCCCTCAGTCCCAACAAAGTAGAGGAAGCAGAATGTGGAGATGTGACTCCTCCAGGGTGAAGCATGGTGGTGGTAGAGTCATGCTGGAGGGGGATTTTCTTTAGCAGCTGATGAGACTTAATGGGTGGGGCTGAATACAGTCGTAGAAAAAAACTGTGGGAGAGAGAGAGGCTATTTCAAAATACGTAATGCAATTAATCTGGATCGCGTAATTAACACGTTAAACTTTTTAGATAATTCGCCCAAACATCGACAGGCCTCGTAAACGAGAAAGAAACAAAGACAAGAAAAACAGTGTTACTTCAACTTGCATTTTTACTCTTCTCGTTGATAACAACAACAGCAACAAATGAAAGTGAACATAAGACCAAGAACTGACACCAAAACAAATCTTGAGAGTTACGAGAGTGTAAATGAAAGGCAAACCTTAAGATGACCTAACAAATGTTTTATCAGCTGCTGAGCTTGGCGTCCATCATTTAGCCTTCTTCATGCCCTCTGCTCCCAGTGAGGTTGTGATGGATACAGCAGCATGGAGAGGGAGAATACAGTGGGAGGAGATCAGGAGACAGAAGGGGAGGAGCTTCACACTCGTCAGCTAACAGGCACTCATGCTTCCCCCCAGTTTCCTCTCTGTCTCTCTCTCTTTCTCTCTCTCTTTCCCCTTCTTCTCTCCCCTCACTCTGTTAGTGTCGCTCTCTCACATCTTTCCTCCCATACAGAGAAGTCAGCCGGTGCATCAGCCTCCAGCTCATCCAGCGTTCGCTCCCCACTCCTCCCCCCCCCGACTCAGCTGATACTTCTCCTGCCTCCGCTGCATCTTTTCTCTCCTTTTTCTCCTCCGTTTTTCCGCTCTTCCTCCTCCTCATCCACCATGGTGAACAGATAACCAGTTGGCTGCGCTTGTCAGACCATGGGTGCCTGCCTCTGCAAAGGTCACAAAGGTCAGTGTCAGAGCCCACCTGTTTGTGTGTGAATGTGTGAGGATTTGCAGGACAAGTCGGTGGATTTTAACCATCAGGACCGCAGGTGAAGTTATACGTTAAGTTTGCGAGAGTTTTGCCGACACCCAACCGAGACGGAGAGTGTCAAGTTTGGCACGTCGGAGTTGACTATATTATGGGAGCGATTGCTCTGAAATCAGAGAAGTCTGCTCTATAACCAGTAATTTGAAAAAGCCATTATGACAGCTTCTCTTTCTCAAAGCAATCTGTGGGCTCTGACTGGAGGGCAGCAGGTTGATGACTGAGGGAGAGAAACAGCGAGAGCCTCATCTAACTGTCATCCCAGATTGGTCAAGACTTGAAGATGTGACTCGAGTTGCAATTTTCTCTTGCGGGAAAAAAGGATTGTTTGACGGATCTCGAACGCTGCTCGACTGTAATGGTTGGAAACGTTTAAGGAGGAAACAGGAGTAATCTAACCGTGTTATCCAGAGATGATCAAAATTTAAAACTCGTTTTGAGGCTTGAGGTGTTTTTGACCCCTAACATTCAGGATTACAATCTCTGCCGTTTTTTCCAGGCGGATTTTGTGTTGTTAGCTGGAAAATAAATAAAAAATAATTAAAAAGACTGATGTTTTAATTAGAAAGCGGCCCTTTCAAACAAGATTTAAGGTATTGAGCACAGATGCACTTTGGAGGCAGGCAGAAAAACAGATAAGAAGAGCACAGCAGGAGAAAGTGTGTGTGCGTGTGTGTGCATGTGTGTGTGTGTCTCCATCAGTGTGTGACTTGAAGGGTATCACCTGGCTTTCCGTTGCCACGGCGTTTCCATCGTGACCGCCGATTGTCTCGACGACATCACTCACCACCCCCTTCCCCGCTCCCACCCTCCTGGGAAACCCCAAGCATGCGTTGGTATTGCTGAAAGTGTGAAAAGTGTGTGCGCAAATGTGTGTGTGTGTGTGTCTGCTGACCTTTTTAATGATGTCAATTCTCCACAGCACTGGCTGCCACTTCATTTCCTCTTGTCATTCACATGAGCCTCATCACCATCAATTATGAAGCAAAGAGGCAGAGCGTGAACTGATGCAAAGCTAAATATGCAGAGGGGCCTCGGTTAAATGGCACTAAGGGGGTTTAAAGCTCACACACACACACACACACACACACACACACATAGAACCTCTTCCATTATGTATGAGCCTCACTTGACCCCTGGTCACATATAAGTCTATCTAACACCAGTTCTTTATGTGTGATTCCCCACAGAACTCCACCTGCCATCGTCATCGCTGCACCAGACCGAGGAAGGTCAGTCGGCTCCCATCAAGGTACGACTTGATGTCTGTGTCTGCGTAGTTAATATCACGCTTTGTTAGTGTTCACAGATGTACAAGTCTCGCTGTTTATCACAAGTCAGATCTAAAAGAAATTGATTTTATCCTAAGAATGAGTTCGATGGGCTCACTACCAGATTTCTATTCCTTCACATGGTTTATTTTTAGTATGGTTTTGCTTATTGCTATCCCCATTAGCGTCGGCAGCCTGCTGTGTCAGCTATTGTTCCTGGGATCAGTTTACAAAAAAAAAAAAAAAAAAAAAGACAGATTATGTTTACAAAAACTCACATTACAGATGAAGTTTTAAAATAACTCATTCTATTCTCCATCACTTTTGAAGGAAGGCACAGTCTTTAGTTTCAGACGGGAAAACAGACTTGCACCACAGTTTAGCTTACAAAGGTTATTTTTGCTGCATATTCACCTTCCCGACACGTCCTACTGGGAACCAGTGAAGGCAGCTCAGGTGCCACAAGGATTAAATAAATAATTAAACAAGGAAGTAAGTAAAATGTAGCCTCACGCGTCACATCTTGGTTTTCCGGATCTCATGTAGACGTATGAAGGCAATTCTCTCTCATCGGTCGTTTGTCAGAAAAGAGAGGAGGAGAGACACATTTAAGCTGTTTTGAGAGGCAGGAGGTTCCCAGTTACAAAATGAGCATAATTCCCAGCCAATCAGAGAACGGAAAACCCTACTCTTGTTTAAAAGAGAAAAGAAAAAAATCTATTTGTAATAAAAACCACTGATTATGCTCTAACATAGAAAAAAACAAAACAAATCCAGACCTTGCACTTTATTAAAATCCTTGAAGTCTTTGCAGTCAGTTCGAGAACATTCAATCAGAGTTAATCATTTAACTCTGATTTAACTCTTCTTTTTGTTCTGATTGCACCTACTCGGGTGTCGAGATCGTGCCTTCTGTCGTTAGCACCTGATTCAGGCTGAGTGCGAATGCCGAAGAACTTCTGGCTGTTAACTTCATTAACATTCCTGTTTGCCTGGGAGAAAATAATGCAGCAAATGCGTGGGCTGAATTGTTAAAGGGGATGGGGGGTGTGAATGTTCTTCTTGTGGCTCTTGTTTTCATTTACAAAGTTTGCTGTTGTTTTTTGCCGAATCCTTATTTATCCATTTACACACAGATTTATTCGCCTACACGGTCCCTCGAGTCTCCGTAGAGATGTTGTTGTCCGTGCCTCGAGCTCACAAACCCGGACAAATCAGAGGCAAAGTAGGGTTCAGGATCTTTCCCCAGGACACATCAATATGCTCTGTGAAGAACGCATCTCACAGCTGCATTACTTTGTGTCGATAAAAAACAGTGCAATTGTGAAACAGAAGGAAAATAATACATGATTTTCAAAGTTGAGAACCGAGAACTGCTCAGCTGCTTTGCTATGATACCCCGAAAGAAAATCCAGTGTAGCTATTTTCAATCAAAAGTCTTCAAATTGGCAAATAAAACCCTGATGTGTGACTTTTGTTTTTTTGGAAGAGTGGTAAAAAGGCAAAATTTCACTTTGTGGCATGCATTCAAAATAAAATGATGGAAAACTATGGCTAACACCTGATCACCACCACTTTTTGTATTATGGTGTGGGGTTGGATTTTTATTTATTTTTTTATTTTTTGAAGAGATGGGGAAAATTAGTCAGAGTTGATGGAAAGATGGAGGAAAAACCTGATTCTTCCATAAACTCCAGACTAGAGCAGAGGCTCATTTTCCAAAAGAGCAAAACAAAAAACACAAGTATAGAGCTAAAATGGATATAATGGTTATATTAAGAGCTATTTTTGTAAGAATGGTCCATTTACAAAGCTACAAAGTCCAGAGAAGTATCCGTCTAGGATCGTATAGTTCAACTTAAAAACGAATGCTTACAGCAATCTGAGTGAAGTTAAGCTATTTAGCAAACATTTGTTTTTCTAGGTATGTGAAGCTGGAGGGAGGAAAGCAGTGCTCTGCCACTAATGACGGGCATTTATTGTATCGTTTATCACTTTTCGTGATACATTTATTATCATGATAAGAATTTTGATTTATTGCTGTCGTGAAAATTCCAATTCATTTTGTTTAAGAAAAACCCAAAACTGTTCTGGATGGTAATGTTTACTATTTTCTCCAGTGTTAGTTCAATGAGAGCATTGATCAATACCAATGCATTTGAAAACACAATTAATTGCAGTGATCGTATTTACAGTATCTGTGTTTGTGGGGCTGAGATCACAGTCAGTTACTCAAAAAGTAAACAAATAAGCTGATATCACAATAAAACTATCAGTCCATATTGTTCACCTTTAGTCGCTCTTATGAAGAACTTATTCCAAATTCAGTTCAGGGTGAAATGAATCAATTCAGTGTTCAGAGTTAAACTCACAGCTCCAACTTCAATTGTCTCTTGTTTATCAATTATATCATGTATACATTTAGGTAAAAATGTCAACAATTAGCATGTTGATTAGCATGTTAGCATAACGTATCTATTTAATCCTGATTGGGTATTTGTAACCTCTGCTTTGCCAGCATATTTACACTTCTATCTGTCTCTCTCTTGCCTCATGCGGTGCAGGACGGTCAGAATCCTTCCAACGGCACAGTGGCAGATAAGTCCAGTCGCTATGACATTGCAGAGCTGGCTACATCCTCTCTGATAGGTGAGAAACACAAAGACAAACATGTCTGATTCATGTTGTGCGCTGCCTTGCAAATCAATTCCGGGGAAGTAACCACAAGGGGTTGGAAATGCAATTTTCCTCCTTCCTTAATCTTTTTCTCTTACTCACCCAAACACGCACTAATATCCATCTTCAATTAGATCTTCTGTCTTTGCCTTCGTGTCTCACTTCCTGATCTCATGTTATTGCTTCCTCCTCTTCCCCTTGCCACCCCCTCCTCCCGCCCATCTATACAGCGTCTCTCGCCCTCCAGGAGGCTCATTATTTTTTGTTAATGTGTTGTGCTTTGATGAACTTTTCCAAGTGGAAGCTCCTTTATTAGACTGACAGAGTAATTATCAGCGGCATAAAAACCCCATGAATAGGTTAGACGAGTACATGCAGGCGCACGGCTGAGACGATGGCAGATTCAATCCAGTAAAGTGCGTTTAAAAGGCTTTTTAACATTTACTCAGCCTTAATCAATCCTCACAAACTGCTGCTGCACTTTCAGCCGAGGTGTGACGACTGCTGTCAAACAACGTAGCTGCTAAAAGCACATCATGGAACTTTAATGCAAAACGGTGATGTTAGTGTTTTCGTGCGCTTTCGCTTTTATGCTGCTCGCTATGCAAAGCCATCGTCTCATATG